CTTTGCTCGGTGGCGACTCACCTCCGACGAGCACGGCAGGCTCCTGTACGGCGCGAAAGAGATCTGACGTGCGTTTCACACAGACGGCAGAGCCTCGACTCTGAGTTGTAAGAGTCGGGGGTGCGGTCCCAATGGCACGCGGGTCGCAGGGTTGTGGGAGGGTGGCTAGGAGCTCGTCTTCACGCTGTGAGCCGCGTACTGACAGGTGGCACGCGTGCGCGCGCGTGTAATGTTGAACTTCTTTCTCACCGCACGTCGCCAACTGTGCTAATTGGAGGTGCGGGGCGGGGGGGGAGACAACAAACTGAACAAAAAAAATAGTTTTCCATCTAGATGATGATTTAAAATTTGCATAGCCTTCAGCGGCTTTCTTAATATCGGAAGGAAGAGCGTTCCAGACGGCCGCAGAAGCGCATCTGAAAGCGTGCGATGCGGTGACCACCGTCTTTGTTCGATGGCTTAGCCAAAAGCCGCCGCCGCTGCTGCTGCTGCGATGATGACCGGAGTGTCGTGTGGTGGTTTATTCCCCTTAACGAGATCAGCAAAGGTGTTGTGGCTCACTTGTGGCAAGCACTTTGTGTGCGTCACGAGTGCGACGTGACCGCTCGTACATTGCCACCCCTCGGAGGCAATTGAACACGTTCCACATTTCTCCGGATTATAGGGCGCATAACCCCTCCCCCTTCTCTCTGGTTTTTTTTTGTTGTTGTTATAATCCACTCGACCTCTTTGGCTTCTCGATGTGCTGTGAAGAAGGGCTATTGCCCGAAACGTCGTTTATTTTATCATGGGTTCTTCGTGGTGGGGGGGGGGGGCGGGGGGAGGAGTTTGGGGGGGGGGGTCACAGTGTTATATGTGAATGCAGTGATTTTTGTTGTTGTAACAACTTCTGTTCTAACGAAGACTCTTTGGTCGACGGGAAGATACGGAGGGGGACGGCTGCGGTTGGTCGGGTTGTGTGATGCACTGGGTAGCGTGTTGAACTTATCCGGCGCCGTACGTGGTCAACCGTGGCTAATCGGAGGTGCGGAGGAGGGAAACTAAACACAAAGCAGTTCTTAAGAAATTCGTTTTCAATCTAGTAGAGTGATGTAGTCTATAGTAGTGTCGTGTATAGCGTAGTGTGTGCAGTGTGTAGAATATGGTAATGTATAGCGTAGTGAGGGTGTAGTATGTGTTGAACTTTTTTCGTACCGTACGTTGCTAACCGTCATTATTCGGAGGTGCGAAGCAAGGCCAACAAACGAGACGCAAAAAAAAGCCAGTTCTAACTTTCGGTATTCTCGAGTATTTTTGAAACTCATCTCGTGATAATTTTTACACAAATCGGCGCAACGGAGCAAACAAATTTTTAAAGCAAACAAAATTTTTATTTATCGATACCGACTGTTTACAAGTAACATAATGCAACGGATACACACCAGGGTAACAACAACAACAACAACGTGTTTAGGATATGACGCAGATCTACGAGCCAGTCGACACGAATTACGATTATTATTATAATCATATGAAGAGAGAAAACACAATATTGGCTATTTACAATAAAGTTATAAACGAGTACGCGCCGCGTTATGAACTCATACGGGAGGGATTAATGCCAGCCGGAGTTGTCTGGGGGCTGAACTCTGGAAAATATTCATGCTTCGATAAAATTAATTACGCAAAGTCGTGAGACGACACGTATCTGGTGAAAACAAATTCAACTATTTCCGTTCGAGGAGTGTTCCACTGTGGATAGGTCATTGTCGAGTGAGCGTACTGCCCAATACACGTCTGCCAAAGCCGGGCTTCGGCAGTGACGGTGTTGGTTTGGCAAGGCCGAGTCTGCTGATGAGACCCAGAAGGTCGAAACTCGCCCCAGGGTGTGCGTGCTTTAAGCACAATTCTGCTCGTGAACACAATTAGAGAAAGACCGACGTGGAATGCATTGGTATATATGTGTGTGTATATATAAAACATCACAATCTATAGTTTTAACTCTCGATCCAAGGGGCCTTGCCATGATAACCTTCCTTGGTATCGGTCGTGGAGGGTGGCCTGCCCCTCCCCACCCCCCTCTTCCACCCCACCCCTGCAAGGTATCACTTAGGAGCCCCCGTCTCAAAGTCCACCCCGTGCAGTTGCACCGCCTGCACGCGACTGCACGGCTACGCCACTGTTAGCACATTTACACGGTACAGTAATTGCTTGTGCGGCATTCCCACCCTCCACGTCCCCCACACACCCGACCACTGAAATCGCGTTTCGTGTACGTCAAGGCGGATGCCTTGGCTTAGCGTGGTAGGTACGGTCGCAGGGAAGAAAGGAATTAAATCTGTCGCTCCCCCCACCCCCCACCCCCACCTCGTCCAAAACCATCCGTCCTTATTTAGTAGCCCTGTGCTCGGGGCTCTCCTGTCCGTGTACTCCACGCAGTTGCACCGCCTGCACACATTCCAGAGCTACGCCCGCTGATCCTGGGACTAATGAGTGCTGGGTCCGTGTTCACGAGCCAGTGGCGGTGGTGATGGTGGTGGCGATGGTGGTGATGATGGTGGTGATGGTGGTGGTGATGGTGGTGGTGATGATGGTGGTGGTGGTGATGGTAGTGGTGATGGTGGTGATGGTGGTGGTGGTGATGATGGTGGTGGTGATGGTAGTGGTGATGGTGGTGATGGTGGTGGTGATGATGGTGGTGGTGATGGTGGTGGTAATGGTGGTGGTGATGGTGGTGGTGATGGGATTTCAAATGTCTCATTACGGGTCTCAAGGACAAACTCACGCCGCCCTCTCACGAAGCGACCGCCGGGGACACGTGGCCCCCTGGCGCTTTGGCTCCAGGTTTTTAGTTTTTTTTTGGAAGATGCAGAAATTCTGGCCTCGCGTTTTTTGTTATTTTTGTTTTAAAACGCAACCCACCACCGCTACCCCACCCACCCGCCCGCCCGCCTGCCTGCCACCAACGCGAGGCGCTTTGCACGGTCCACGCCATTCTATCCTTTGCCGTACGATGGCAACGTGCTCAGCTTAGGAGGTTTCAGCCAGATTCGTACTTGGACGGAGGACTTCTGAGGAATAGCACACGTTTGTAGGCTCGGACTGCAAGGTTTTACCTCGGATTACACTGCATGCCACAAATGAGCCGTAATACCTCGCCGATCTCGTCAAGGAACATCACACCATCACACCATCACGCGACACTCCGTTCATCCTCGCAAGCACACGGATTTTGGCTGCTTCCATCGAACGACGAGGGTCACCGCCAACGCGCGCTTTCAGGTGCGCTTCTGCGGCCGTCTGGAACGCTCTTCCTTCCGATATTAAGAAAACCGCTGAAGGCTATGCACTTTTACATCTAGATTAAAAAAACGTATTTTTTTAGAACATATTCTTGGTTCTTTCGGTAAGTCACGTAGAAGGGAAATAATAAAATGTTCTTGCTGTGGGTTTCACACCTGATGATGATTGCTTGTGTTGCAATCGAAACGTCGTGAGAATTTTATTGTTTTATTTTTATTATTTCCCTTCTACGTGACTTTACCGAAAGAACCAATAATATGAATCCCTGCAGTCACGAAAGCTTTAGATCGAAATTCTTTAGAACACCTCTTCTTGTGTGTTCAGTTTGTTGTCTTTCCCCCGGGCACGTATAATTAGCGCGGTTGGCTACGTACGGCGCGAAAGAAGTTCAACAAACATACGTTCAAGGTGTCCACGAGATGGCAGGAAAACATTGGATTCTGGAATGTATCCGTGCAGAGCTTGGAGTGTGTTCTTCCCTTCTAGGCGTGGATTTGTTTTTTCTTTGGGAGCTATATCATTTGTGGCCAGGTCGCTTCTGAAAAATAAGCAAATAGCTCAGTAGGCTTAGCCTGGCTAACAACAAAAAAGTTTACTTTTCTTTGTATATTTTTAAGTGATTTGTTTTACTTTTCCTATGTCTTGAACTCCTGTTGTGTTTTTTTTGTATTGTTGGTTGCTATTTTCTGACCTGCCCCGACTGGACACCTGTGGAAAAGAGCTTTATAGCTCATTGGATTCCTCCTGTATGAATAAATATTCTGATTCTGAGCAAGGGCTCTCCTAAAAATTAAATGCTGACACCCAGGAAGCTTTCATGGACAAATATAAGGTAGATTATAAGCGAGTTCGATTCCCTGCCACAGCCAACATCAGCGGTGAGTGAGATCTGAACCGGTCCAGGACCGCGCACACCATCGCCGACCCGTAGCGACAAGCGTGGTGAAGTATGACAGGGCCTGGGGAGACCTGTCATTGTATTGTAAATATAGTCACGTATAGGAGGTCATGTAATATAGAACAAAATATAACAAGAAAATTCCACACGGTGGAATTATATAAGACATGCACAACAAATATGAACACAAGCCTGTATATATACAGGCCTAAGGACATATATATGATGAATGAATATGACAACAGGGTGGATAAAATATCTGATGTACCAGCCTTAAATATTACGAATTAGCGATAATCATTATCGTCACCACCACCACCACTTAATATTCTTACCTTGGCCTCCCATGTAATTTATCCCTGACAGATGGCACCACCAGTGGCAGCTGTCCCTGGGCGGCACAAAGCGAATGCAGCACGTGGCCTGCGAGTCGACGTGAAGTCCGCTCTGGTGGCTTCCATATAAAGTAGTGCCCCACCCATTCCCACCCCCCACCCTCTTACCCCACTGTTCACGTCCACATCCCAACCCACACACACACACACTTCACCAATAAGCAAACTAATCATCGTGGTGAAGTATGGTCAAACAACTCCCACGAGCGACACTGCGAGTGGAAGCCCTTTATGCGGCAGTGGATTGACAGAGGGGGCTGTAAATAAAATAAAATGAAACCCATACGGAGCAGAGGTGACACGCCGGTTCCCGTGACAATTAGAATCGTTTGCGGCTATTAATTCTGACGAAGGCGATGATGGAGTTGCTGCTGCTGCTGCTGTTATGATTGTTATCATCGCCGCCGATGACGGCGATGATGTTGCCGATGTTATTACGCCAGCTGCTGAATTTTATTCCGTTATGACTGCTGCTGGTGGTTGCTGCTGCAGCTGCCGAATAAGAAGAAGTCACTGATGATTACAGCTACCGCCGCGAACTGATGATGTTCCAGCTACGATTGCTGCTGCTGCTGCTGCTTCCGCTAGCGAAGTTAACCGTGACGAGACAGGATTCCATCTGCTGCTCAAGTTAACCTCGTGAGTGACCGCCAAAAGCAAGGTTACTGCTGTAACGACCTCCGCTGCTGCTGCTGCTGCTACTGCTGTGGGCTACCCCTGTGGCCCAGTCGTCGTTGTTGTTGTTGTTATCGGTGAAGTTCGTACCCCCTGTCCCATTGCCACGAATATTACCACCGCTACCACCACCACCAGCACCACCACCGCCTCTCTCAGTCGTTCACCTGCACCGAGATGCACCTACACTGCTTCACGCGCTGCACCCTCTTGCGTCGCACGGGCGGCTGCTGCTCGGGGCAGGTGAGCGTCACGGTGAGGGTGGTGTAGCGGTGGGGCTTGCAGAACGAGCACGACTTGAACGACAGCGACGACGACGACGAGGATGATGATGATGAAGACGCAGCGGCGGCGGCGGACGGATCCCTGCGCGCGTGCCTCGGTATGTAGAACGAGTTGCACTGGCCGTAGCAGAAGCGGTTGATGATGGTGCGTCCGAGGCAGCCCTCCTCGCCGATCGTCTGCTTGAGCGGGTGCGTCTTGCACCAGTCCCTCTTCAGGTACTTCTTCTCGGTCACGATGAGCGCCTCCTGGCTGGACGCGAGCGCGTCCTTGGTCGACGCGAGGCCGGCCCGCCTGCCCGCCGAGTCGTTCGGCCTCGCCTTGGCCGGCGACGGAGGCTCGCCGCCGCGAGGGCGGACGCGGCGAGCGGTCTCGGGCAGCGCCTCGCGAGCGTCCGACGCGAGGAGCGAGGCGGTGGCGGCGGCGGCGGCGAGCAACAGCGGGAGCAGCATCAGGGCGGCGGGGAAGGGCACCCTGGACGGCATCGCTTGCTTTGAGGCGCCGCCTGTCGTCTGTGGCGGGGTTGGCGTGCGGGGAGACAATCGGGGTCAAGGTGGTGGTGGTGGTCGTGGTTGGTGGTCGTGGTTGGTGGTGATCGTGGTCGTGATGGTCCTGGTGGTGGTGGTGAACGTGGTCGTGGTGGTGATCGTGGTCGTGGTGATCGTGGTGGTAGTGGTGATGGTGGTCGTGGTGGTGGTCGTGGTAGTCGTGGTGGTGGTCGTGGTGGTGGTGATCGTGGTGATGGTCGTGGTGGTTGTGGCGATCGTGGTCGTGGTGGTGGTCGTGGTGGTTGTAGTGGTGATCGTGGTCGTGGTGGTGGTGGTGATGGTGGTGATGATGATCGTGGTGGTGGTGGTGGTGATCGTGGTCGTGATGGTGTTGATGGTGGTGATGGTGGGGACCCATTGAGAGGGCCTTGAACGGAATGTATATTTTTGTACCCCCTACCTCCCCACCACTTTCAATTTATAAACAGCGAGTGAGAAGGATGGAAGAGATACAGGCCTGAGAGATAGCGTTGTGGCGAGATGATAGGGAGAGATATATGTGTGTAGTGAATCGAGAGAGAGAGAGAGATTATGGTCACGCGATAGAGATGCAGTGAGATGAGAGAAAGAGAGACAGCAGGGCGAGGCGGCGATGTCGCGAGATGGGAAGAGACGAATGTGGAGTTCGACGAGAAGAGAGATACAGACACGATAAGCGTGCCAGAAAGAGGGCTGGCTTAGCTCGCTTATGTTTACTTGGATTTGACTGCGGGCATGTGTTTGGTTCTCTCCTATCACCTTCACGAAATCTGGGGCCCCTTCAGCTACTTGGCAGGCCCCGGGTTACTTCGCGCTGCCGAACAAACACGCAGCGCAACCCAGAATACGCATCGGGAGGGGTCCACTGCAGCGTTTGAACTCTGCTCCATTCGATAGACCGACCCTCTGTCCGCCTCTATGGGCATTCCCTATGCAGGGACGCAGATGCCCCCCGTATAGCCTCCTGTGACAGACTGCTGGGGCGAGTGCCGCTACCGAGTAGCACCTATGAAGGCGTTGCACGGCACACGAGGAGGGCGGGAGGCCATGCACCACGCCCAGACGCCTTTGTCTCCCCTACAGCGAACGTTTACACATTGCAGCGGGTACTCATTTGAGGTTGAGTCGACCTAGGGGAGGCCCAGGACATATTCAGATACTCGCCACTGGTGGGCCGTGAGCGGGAATCGAACTCGGATGGCCGGGTTCGTAGCACAGAGCGTCGACCCTTGCACTACCGCATTCCATGTGCGAGTTGAGTTTACGTGCAGAAGATCGGGACACAGGTGGATCCGGATGCCGATCTCAAACAAAGTCCACGTGAGAGCTATGTTTGTGCATGTATCCTGGCGATTTGAAGGGTTGCCCATGTTGAGAGCCAATTTCAGTCTCCGGACGAATTGAAAACGTCCCGGAATGAGCTCAATTCGGCTGAAATGTCGAGTGGTTCCTTTGTCTCGGCGAGAATATAAACGTTTGTAAGCTTCACCTTGACGTGCCCGATTACTTACGCACAATGTAGCGTGTCTTAAAAAAAACAATACAAAAACTTAAGTAAAACGCACTATGGCAATAGTTAACAAAATAGATTCATATTCGTCTGCCCCATCGTTAAACAAAATACTTCAACAATATTTTAGCCCTTCCTTGACGAATACGAGCAGCAGCAGCGGATCAGCATCTTGTTTAAGCGGGGAGAATCTCTGAACCGGTTTCGACATTCTGGGGTTTGATCAGCAGAGTCAGCCTGATTAACCGAGGACCGAAATACTTGCGACTTGACAGATATTATTGTCAAGAGCGCTCCCGATAAACAACGGGGCCCTGAATGCAAACAACAACAACCAATAAAGCAGCTGCCACTGATGTCAGCCGTGGCCAGGTATGGAATTAATGTCCACGTAGCCCAGCGCAGTGCGCTATCCACTGCGCCATCACTCACTCCCCATCCCATGACTCCAATACGCAATTCCATTTTTTACATGTGTATATATAAAATATTGCGCGGACGTACCTTGTTTCGGAGCAACGAAATCTTGTGATGTGGCCGAGCTTTGAACCCCGTGTAATGATCGGAGTATTCTCCAGGAACAATACAAATGCTTATTACACAAACTCTGAACACACAGCTGCGTGCTGTTTCTTTTTGACCTGTGTTTGCTTCCAAAAGCCCTCTGTGCTCCGTGCTTATAAGTTGACGCTCACTTGCGAACCGATGTTACTGGCTTGGGCTTAGCAATCGTGAGCTGTTTCGCTACCTGGTTGCTCTCTCCGTGTGTCTCGCTCTCGCTATCTCTGGCTCTCTCTGGCTCTCGTGTCTCTGCGATGGCTCCGTGTGGATGTGTGTGTATATATATACACCACGGCGGAGCATTCAGGAGGAGCGTTTTGATTGGTCCGCGACTCCCAAAATAATCCCCGCATCGCGCACGAGACGGAACGTAGCGGAGTTGTGATCCCCCCCCAGCCCCCACTACCCCCCAGCCCCCACCATCTCCCCTACTCACCCCCTCCACCGGTTTATGTCGCGAAAAAGGGGGCGACTCCTGCAAGCCACGAATACACACACACACCCTTTAAATACATATATTCACTCAGTTCAGGGGTTTTATTTATTTATTTTCCACTGCTGGATGAAGGAGCCTGTCGACCATGGGGGTTGCTTGGCCCTTTCTGTAGCGAACTTTTTGAAGAAAGGACCAGCGTGGCGAAAGGGCCATTGTCCGAAACGTCGCCTATTATAGTTCTCCTTTTAAGGCCACACACACGCGCGCGCGCACAGCGGTGTTTGACGAATGCGTTTTTTTTTAATACCTACGTGACTTTACCGAACGAACCAAAGAGTATGGATTCCTGCAGTCACGAAAACTTCAAATCAAGATTGAATGCGTTGTGTCTTATGTTTGGTACTCAATTGGTAAATTGTGCGGTGACATGGCTCCAGGGTCTGAGCCGCGTGTGGTCTCTCTCATGGAACGTCGGAAATTCGTGGCCTTTTCCCCCCATTCAAACCTCTTCTGCCCACGACATTTACTCAAGAACGTCCCTATAGACACCCCCCCCCCCACTCAAGATTCGCTTACCAATTATTCACATCGCCCATTGTATTTTAACTCGCCGCCTTCCACTGGCTGCTCGTTATGACACGTATAATTTACTACCGGCAACCGAAACCGCATTCATAGCCAGCGACCGGTTCTTCTTGCCGTCTCATTGCGCGTCCACATGTACGCGCGCGTGTCGAACTTCGTTCGCACCGTACCCGTCGCCGACGTCGTGTGTAAACCGTACTACGCTCATTCTCAACGACCATCAGAGGGGCCCGTTCTGGCAAAACACCGAGCGAGCCCTCTCGTGCTCAGAGGTTCGTAGCGGTAGCTTCACGCGGCGTGACGAAGGGGACGAGGTTGCGTTGACGCGCGCGCTCTCTCCCTCGCCCTTGTCACGCGATGACGTCCGTCCGCGGAAGGGTTCGCTTCGTCGCATCGCTAAGCAAACAGATTTCACGTCCCCGCTGCGTCGAATTAACGCCCCGTTAAGTAGCCCGCTCATCATCAGCACCGGCACGCACCTGGTGGGACGAGTTTTTAACCCCCCCCCCTCCTCTCCGACACCTCCATCCCCCACCCTCCACCTCCACCCCCCCCACCGCCCTTAACGCTATTAACCTCGTGGCACATCCGTGCTGCAGGGGGGGGGGGGCATAACCCATGGGCCAGGCACGGATTAATTTGCCGCTCGATAAACTTGCGCAACGCTGCCGCTGGCGTAGCCTGGAGAGGAGAAATCATCGGCGTACGGCACTACCACGAGGCTACACGACGCGCTAAGTCCAAACGACACGCAAAAACACGCTATGTAACCGTCTTGTGAATTGCTATAATCCTCGAACCTGTGATCACCATCTCAGGAGTATATCCATCGTGGATTGGGGACGTGCCAAGCTAATCCTTAGAGCAGCGTTGTGGACTCTTCCGGCTGAAACTCGGCGCTGGGTATATGACCTGTGGCTCCTTCTCGTCCTCCTCCTCCTCCTCTGCCGCCTCCGCTGCTGCTTTGCGCCCCGTGCTTTGCACAAAGGGGTTTTGTTTGATCACCGTGGCCACTGTTGCTGGTTCAAGTACACGGTGATGTGTGTGTGCCTTGTGCAATAGCGAGAGCGGTGGCGCAGCGGTTAGCGCGCTGCGCTTACAAACCTGTAGACCCCCCCCCCCCCCCCACCGAGTTCGATTCCGCGCTCACGGCCATCAACACCAGTGATAGATTATCTGAACCGATCCTGGGCATCCCCTAGGTCAACTCAGTCTCAAATGAGTACGCGGTGCGGTGTGTAAACATCGCCGCTGGGGGGGGGGGAGACAAAGGCGGCCGGGCACGTGGTGCTGGCCACCCGCCCCCTCGTGTGCCACAGTGCCGGCCTTCGTGAGTTGCTGCTCGCTAGAGGCACTTGTCCCAAAAGTGCGATGAGGCTATGCGGGGCATCTTTGTCTTTGTACAATCAAGGGAGCGGTGGCGCAGCGGTTGTTCAAACACGTCATCCGCCGGGCGTGGTTGATATCTTCGAGCGGGTAGACACACAGCTTTATCGGCCACGGAAGGCGAGATGATGATGCGATTGTTCTTTTGTTGTTAACGCGCGCGCTCTCTCTCTGTCTACGTCATGCGGCGAGACACATCAACTAGGCGATAAAAAAACTTTTTTTAAATGTTACTCGGTAAGGCCCCACTGAGCTATGTAGCAATTTCTTTTTATGAAGCCACCTGGCTGTCACAAATGATAGCTCAACAAAGTGGGCTCATCATCATCACGTGGAAATCTACAGCGGCTGCCAAAAACTCTAAACGAGTGACGACGTTGATTCTACATGTGGAGGGGCGGGGGGTGACACCGGAGGACCCGGAGAAAAATCCACGCGACCACGGGGAGAGAGACACGCAAACGCCACACAAAGACAAAGATCCCCCGTCTAGCCTTAACAGACTGTTGGGGCAAGTGCTGTTAGCGAGCACGTATGAAGGCCGGCAGTGTGGCACACGAGGGAGGTGGGTGGCCAACAGCACGCCCGCCGCCTTTGTCCTCCTAGTGGAGATGCTCACACATCGCACCAGGTACTCATTTGAGGCTGAGTCGACCTAGGGGAAGACCGGTTCAGATAATCGTCACCGGTGTTGGCCGCGAGCAGGAATCGAATTCGGGTCGCCAGGTTCGTAGCGCAGCATAGCACAAACCGCTACACCACCGCTCGTAGTTTATAATTGATCAAAGCTCTCCAGCGCCACGCGAATTGTGTTTATCAATCATCAGGCGCGTGCAGCGCCTCTCAAAGTGCCAGGGGTGTGTCGTGGGGGGAAACGTTGGTTGAGTGAAATTGCACACTCTATGACAAGAAGGTCGTTGACCACAATAACGGGAACATTTTTCCCCGTCGAATTCGGTATAGAAACAACAAAATTTATACTTCACGAGCGCGCAATGCGTGTGGTGAACACACACACAGTCGTACGTAAATTATGGCACGAAGGAGTCTGTAAAGAGAGCCGCAGGTTTGCCGACCCTTGCTCTATGGGATGGGAAATGGGTTAAGTCAGTGCTCTGTAGAACTGCCGTTAGTGTTATGCCTGTAATATTATGATTTGAGCTGTTGTACTATATTATAGTTCTATCCGTATAAATATTACCCCTGTAGTCATCACCCCTGTCTATATATTATACATCCTTGTATGTGTACGTATTAGTATAATCGTCAGCCGATATCTCTTTCACGTTTCTTGAACTTATTTTTACTTTAATATATATAATTTCACACTAATCCGTCGAAACATAAGCTGCCCGAGCCTAATTATTTTACACCGATTTTTATTTTATTTCTCACGTGACGCAATACAATCTTCGTTGCGAATTCTATTTAGCTTCATTGCCTTGTGTACTTTCATTTTAGGTTTTTTTTGTCAATTTTTTTTTGGTGAGCCCGGGTCATTCTTCCCATGGAGACTTCACATCGAGTATCTCGACATCGAAACTGGTTATAACCACACACACACACAAACACACACACACAAGCACAACCTTCTGAAGTCACAATACACATCGGTGGGGGCAAATTGTTGGGCCCACTACAGATGGACGCGTTGAACTCGGGGATTAAAGCGCCCGGTAGTGTATTGACCCCGTGCGCTAAGCGGAGGTTTGCTCAGCGCTTTAAGCTCCGCTACTTATGCTAAGAGTTTAACTACTTCCAAATCGTGGTATCGATGATGTCCGGGGCAAGAGATGGCGATGCTGGCCTCTAGTCCAGTGTTCTTCACTAATTTTTCAGAGGAGTGGTGGGCCGATATGACATCATCAGTGTGTGTGAGAGGGCCGCCACACATTTGAAACCAATGGCGATGAGACAGCAGCACGATGGTGATGATGATTGGGGGTGTCACCATCTGTGTACTGTCGGCGGGGGGTGGGGGGGCACGTCAGGGGCCGCATTAAAGACCACCAGATGTCGCCAGTGGCCCGGCGGGCCTTAAAATGAAGAACGCCGCTGTAGGCTGGCGTCGTGTGGGACATTTCTGAGCGAAATGTATCAGCGTGACCTTGCTTAAATGATGTTTGTAATAAAGCGGGTGTGTGGTGGGGGGGGGTATCCTAAAACTTGGTGGGGGTGCGGGAGGAGAGATGGACACGACAAAATCAACAAACACAAACGTGAACCGGTGAACAACAGAGTCGTGTAACGATGCCATCATCTCTGGCTCTCACTTGACGCTACGTCTACGAGACGGGAGGGGGCACCCCCAGCTGTTTCAGAGGAGCCGAACATGGTGCCACGATGATTGCGAAACCCATCACTGCCTCCGATTCGTTCAGTCTCTAACAACATGAGTCGTATCATAGCACCTCACTTTCCAATATCAAAATGCGGGGTGCTTTAAAAAAAATGTTAACACTTCTGAGAATTTGCAACAACACCACGAGGAATGTGCTGCCACGAGGAATGGAGCCCAGCTGGAGAAGATTCAAGGCCACGTGTTGGCAACGATGTCGAACAAGTGGGAGGCTCTGACTTTTTGAAGCTATTAACATTACATTTGTTATCATGTCACAGTGTTATTATCCGTTTTTTTTTCCATTAAAAACGATAGTCCCATGTAAGCGTTGACATTTTTTTGAAGCAACCCGTATAAGAATAGGCTTTATCCTATTCTTAGGGGTAAAAGCTATTCTCCTAACTCGGGTTGATTCACAGAGCAGCCCCCCACTGCACGCTCAGTGGGACCTCGGGGAAGTCTTCTTCGTGTCTCCTGTCCAACCTAATATCAGTCTCTGGCCAATATTCTGCACAGGCGCACCGCTTCTGATGTTGCCACTGCCAAATGTTGCGGAGTGGCATTGTGGGTGCAGTGCTGCAGGGCACCTCAGGAGATGATC